TTGTTGATGGGCACTTAGGTTGTTTCCAACTCCTTGCTATTGTGAACAAAGCCGTGATAAACATGGGTGTGCATATATCTGCTTGGATGTCGTTTATGGTCTCTTTAGGGTATATTCCCAGGTTAAATGGTATTTCTATTTGCAACTTTTATTCATTGTTGGTGGGAGTGTGAGATGGTGTAACCACTGTGGAAAGCGGTGTGGCGCTTCCTCCAGCGGGTTTTGAGAGGCAGTAAATCACATGGGAGATTTTCCAACCTTCCCTCATGGAGCACCTGGTGAACTAAAATCTTGTGTTTTTGGGGTTGCAATGCAGCTTCTTACCTAGCAGGCAACCAGAATTCCCTACTGGTCCTAAGATGTCACTATCTGACTGCAGTGACTGGGGATTTTAGAACTTCTCTATTGTTTGGTGTTTTTTAAAAAAACAAACAAACAAACAAACAAAACACACAAGTTGCCATGGATCAGCTGTCAAGTCAGGGTAGAGCTGTGATCTATGGGTTTGCATGGCTGACTTCTTAGAAAATGATCACAAGGTTCTTCCACAAAACCTCTAGCTGTTGGTGCTTCTCTCCCTTGAAACGCCACAGTTTACCCACATGTCAGCGAGTGCTCAAGGTAGACAGTTGTCCACATCAACAAATTCCTAATTGGGCCTACCAATAAGCCTAGCTGCATATAGCCTGTACCTTTCATATTGGGGGAAAATATAATATTGTTATTAGGTGCCAGTGAATCAGTTCCAATTCATTGTTGTTGTTCTTAGGTGCTGTTGAATCAACTTTACCTTTTCATGCCCTTATGAATGATAGCTTGAAACCTTCTCTTGTTCTTTGCCATCCTTGCCCTACCTTACACCATAAACAATACACAGAAAATTGCCCAATGCTGACATAACCTCATGGTCATTGTTCTTTTTAAGCTCACTGTTCCAGTTACAGTGTCAACCCATCTCACAGAGAATCTTCTTTTTCAATCATCCCTCAATACTCTCTCCAGGGACTAATTCATTCTGATAATATGCCCAGTTATATCACACTATAATAGTATGTGAGATGATGTAATCTCATCTTCATATCCAAAGAATATTCTAACTGTATACCCAAGACAAAGTTGTTGGTTCTTTTTGCAGTCGACTTTATTGATGTTGTTGTTGTTAAATGTTGTCAAGTTGAGCACAATTCATAGCTACCCTAGGAACAAAAGATCTGAACCCTGCTCTATAGCTGTTGTCATTTCTCTAATATTCATAGAGTTTCCAGAGACATGCTGTTTAGGAAGTGGATGCCAATCCTGATTCTGAGCCTGTCTTAATCTGGGAGCTCCACCAACACTGTCTATGGCTAACCATTATGGCATTTGACACATCAGTGGCACAGCGTTCAGCATCACAGCAACTCCAAGTTACTTCAGTACAGCAAATTGACAGACCAGTGCTATACCACTTAGAAAAATGTTCTTCCCAAGCACAACTAGCACGAGGCCCTCAGACTCAACTGACTTTTAAATACTAATGGTCCACCCACCAGGTCCTAACTGACTTAAACAAGAGTCTTTCATCCCACAGCTCATTGTTAGCTCAATCCAGTAAATCCAATCAGCTAACACACAATTGTGGACAAAATAATAAACAATGAGTTTACACTCCAGTTTCAACTATAACAAGGGAACCTACTTTCTTGTTTAATTCAATCAGGACATGGTGGGTAGGCCTTTATATTTAAAGTTAGTTGAACCCTAACTAAGTCCCCAGTTTGGAGGCTAATGTGTGAAGCAGTTGGATTCTGGAAGGTGGGTTCTCTTTTTTTAGTTGAAAGTCCATTGTATACTCAATGTTATCCCCCCAAATCACAATTCAAACACATCAATTATTTAGTCTTCTTTATTTATTGTCCAATTTACGTGCTTAAAAGACTGAAAATATGATGTCTTGAATTAAGCTCACCTTAGGCTTTGAAGTGATATCTTTGCTTTTAAAACAGATCTTCTGTGGTTGACAAGGTTGTCTATTGGTTTGCTGTTGTTGTTTTAAGAGTCATTGAGTTGAGTATGACTCATAGAGACCCTGTGAGCAGCTGACCTGAACCCTGTCTTATCCTGTGTCATCACCACAGACTCTGACATTGCTGAAGTCATCATGTTAATCCATCTCATTAGGGGTCTTCCTCTCCTCAGATGATGATTCATCTTTCCAAGTATGATGCCCCTTTCCAAAGAGCAGCCTTGCCTAGCACCATGTCCAAAGTATGAAAGATGAAAGTTTCCCATCCTTGTCTCCAAGGTGCACTCTGCCTGCACCTTCTCCAAGACCTGTTAGATCTTCTGGCAGTCTATGGGATATTCAGTACTCTTCTCCAATACAACAGCTCCAAAACATCAACACCACAGATCATAGACATCAATTCTTCTTCTGTCAGCATTATTCACTGACCAGCTCTCTGGTGTGTGTGATATATTTAAACAGAAGGTAAGTAGTTATTGATCTTCATAAATAACTACTTTATATCCTTTTAACTTTCAGCAAGCAAGACTGTATTATCAGCTTGTGATGTTATTAGACCTTCTCCAATCTTGTTGCTGTGTTCTTTTTGAAGCAAGCAAGCTTCTGAGAATATTTGCTCAATACAGAAATTGAATAGTTATAGTGAAATCATACAACTCCCATCTTTTCTTGATTTTAAATCACTCAGTAATCCCCTTTTTCTAGTCACACTACTGTTCTTCTTGGTCTATATGCACATTTCACATGAGCATAATTACATGCTTAGAATCCTCATTCTATACAATGTTACACATTTTTGTTTATAGTATGCATATCCAGATACTTTCAAAGAATCACTAAAATATAAAAAGCATTTTCTTGGTATTTTCTTCTTTTAACTAAAAGTCCATTTGGTATCTGCAATAATATACTCATTCCAAGTCCTCTTCTAAATCTGATTTGAATTTCTGGATATTCACATCTGCATACTTCTTCAACAGTTTAAATATTATCTTCAGCAACATTAGCACTTGCATTTGATAATCATAACACAGTTCAGTAAGTCCCACATTCTATTTCCTCAGCTAACTTGGAGATAGGCACCAAATGTTAGTCATAAAAAAATGTGTGCCTACTTATTTTTTTTTATTTTTATACCAAATCTTTCTTTTAATAGAATCATCATGTGATCCTAAAACCCAGACTCTAGTACATGTGCCTACTTATTTTACTGCATAAAATTCAGCACAAAGAGACAACAAACATGACTCATTGTGGTAAAATTCTAAGGTCCACCAATAACACTACCCTAGCCCTCATAAACAAATACTTTGAACTTAAAATTGAAATATAAACATGAACTATGCAGTTATGTTGACTAAAGTTATTTTACATTTAAAATATAAACCAATTTCATTTATTAACAAACTTTAGGATCTCTGTACATTTAAGAAAGAAACCAATCCAAGAATGACATCTAACATTTCTTGGACTCCCCTTTGCCAAATGTTGGACTAATATGTAATCTATGAACTGTGTAAAACATACTATTAACATATCAATTTGCAAAGTAAGTAACTTGCTCAAGGTGTCAGAGTGGCCATTTGATACAAAGGATTTTGATTCAAGAATCAAGGATTTCAAATATCACCCAAGACAGAGAATTATTAAATAATTTCCAAGTAAATGTTTATACAAGAAATAAAAACGTCATGCTTACTCATTCCAAAGAGTCCTCTAAACAGTAAAATCAGTCCTGTAGTCAAAGTATGACTATGAATACATATCACTTGAATTTAGAAATAATCTCATGGATAGATTTGATTCTCTGAACATCAATGTTGGAAGATGACATGAGTTGTGGGATGCCATCAAAAACATTACATATGAAAAAAGCGAATTATTATTTAAAAGAAGTAAATGAATAAAAAAAATCAAAATAAAAATCAGAAGAGAGACTCGAGAAACTTGCTCTTGAACACAAACCTTAGGAAAATAGGAAAAAATGAAGACATAAATGAGCTGGAGAGATAGAAAATGATGGCTTGAGAAAGCAAATATTATAATGAAATGTGTAAAAATGTAAAATCAGAAAACCAAAAGGGGGAAATGCACTAAGTGTTTCTCAAACCAAATAAGGGGGGGGACAAATTCAAGTGTTGTGTTTCAATACACAAGTGTACAGACAAAATAAAGAACAATGCAGGAGGCATCACAAGATGATGTAAGAAATAAAGTTACAGTACCATTATTTGTTAAAAAATGGCTTATTTTTAACCAATGACATGGTAGCATATAATCAAGAATTAAAAGTAATAAAAGAAGTCTAAATTGCAGTGAAGGAATTAGTGAAAAATAAGGTCCCAGGAACTGATGGAATACCACCGAGATGTTTCTACAGATCAATGCACAACTGGAAGAATTTGCTTGTGTAGGTGAGGAAATCTGGCCAACCACATTCCAAGAAAGCTGAACCAATGAAATATGACAAATATTGAATAATATTGTTACTATCAGGTGCAGAAGAGAAGTCAAAAAGTGTTGCAGCAGTACCCTGACAAGGAAGTGATAGAAATTCAAATCAGATTCTGAAGAGGACCAAAAAGGGTATCACTGCTGATATTAGAAGGAATTTTAATCAGTGGCCAATATCAGAAACATGTTTGACTGTATGAATATGTAAGAGCACTCAACTATGTGGATTATAACAAATTAAAGATAATATTGTGAAAAATGGGAATTACAGAGACTTTATTACAGTTATATGAACCTGTACATAGAAAAAGAAGCAGCTGTTGGAACAGAATGAGGGAATGCACAGTTGGTACTCCCTAAGCCAGAGAAGCTGTACCCACAGAGTATCTTCAGCTCCCTTTGCCTCCTCATCCACTTCTGAGACAAGCAGACTCTCTGGCCTAGCTGGACATTTCATCCTCAACCTTCTCCAAGATCCAGGGCCCGATATCTAACCTCCATCTGCCACAACACCTGCAGTACCATCAGCTACCCTTCCTTCTGTTTTCCTTTTTTTGTTCCTAAAATCTATTTGTTTCTCCCCTTTTTCTCTCCTATTTTTTTGTCAATATTTCCTTTTCTATTCCTCTTCATTACTCCTACTGGTCACTTGCTTCTTGTTTTTGTTTTGGGTTGGTATTTCTCTCCTATTTTTTTTCTTTGTTGTCTTTTTCAGTGACAAGAGGATGAAGAAACTATGGTAAATTTACCCAGTGGAGCACTATGCAACTTCAAAACACAATGAAGAATTCATGACACACCACACAACACAGAGGAGCCTAGAGGGCATTATGATGAATAAAATAAATCAGGCACAAACCAACAAATGCTATATAAGAACATTGATATAAAAAGCTAGAGAAAGGTTTACACACAGAGAAAGTTATTGTGTGGTTATGAGGGAGGGGCAAAAGGGTGGTAGAAAATTAATTGGGAGACAAATGAACACCTATTAAGATGGGTGAAACAAAAAAGAAAAGATGAAATGAATGCACAATCAGACATCATGTGTATTATAATTGATATTATGGAACAAAGCATATATGAAAAATATGATTTCACATATGTATAATATATGAAAAGTAAACTTTCACTCAAATAATAATAAAAAGACCTCTTTAAAGTTTAAAAAGTATTTTTAAAAATCAGATGTCACTTTGTGCACTAAAATGTATGTAACTGTATTTTCTATTGTTTCATATCGTGAAAGTTTTGCAATAAATATTAAAGACTATAAAAAAACTGATGACTTTGAATTATGGTGTTAGGAACAAATATTGAATATACTGTGACTGTCAGAAAAAACAAGAACTATCCTGTCTTGGACAAAGTCCTGCCAGTGTCCTCCTTAGAAGTGACGAAGACAAGACTTCATCCACATGTTCGATTCTTTTAACATTTGGACCCATATTTGGAAAAGGACATCATGCTTAGCAAAGGAGGAGACCCTTAGCAAAGAAGGAGCGGAACGGACTGATAAAGCCACTATAACAATCAGCAATAGCAATGATTGGGAAGGTGTTGCAAGATAGGTGCCTTTCTTTCTGTTGAATATGGGACCATTATAAATTTAAAATGACAGCACAAAACAACAGAAGTTTTGCTTCTTAGATAAAGTATTATTTAACATAGTACTCTGTTCTCTGGAGCTGTAGTGGCCTAGTGGCAAGAAGCTGCACTGCAATCCTGAAGGTATGCAGTTCAAGGCCACCAGCTGCTCCATGGGAGAACATTGGACAATCTCCTCCTAAGCAATTAACTGCTTTTAAAAACCCACCAGAAGATCAGCTATGGATCAATTCCAACTCTGGTACACAACAACAACAATTCTGCTCTAGGGAGCTCTGACAGTTTAATAGTGAAGGACTGGAGCTTCCAAGCTCAAGACAAAATTGTTTGAATCCACCAGATGCTCCATGGGTGAAAGATGGGCAATCTCCTCCTAAATTATTTATCTACAACCTGCTGGACTGTCACCTAGGAGTTAGTTCTGATTTGATGATAATGAACAACAGTTCTATTCTAAATATTAAATAATCTTAAAATCATTGTTGTTATTGTTCTGTGTTGTTGAGTCACTTGCAACTCATAGAACCCTGCTCTATCGTGTGCCAATCTTACCCTCATTACCCCAGTCACTGTATCAGTCCATCTCACTGAGGGTCTTCCTCTCTTGTGTTGTCCCTCCACCCTTTCAAGTATGATATAAGGACTGGTCCCTCCTTGCAACATGCCCAAAGTATGCTAGACAAAGCTTCAGAATCCTTGCCTCCAAGAAGCAGTCTGGTTTCACCCTCTCTAGGATGAACCTGATTGTTCTCCTGGCAGTCCATAGCTCCAGCACCACAGCTCAAAGGCATCAACTCTCTTTCCATCATCCCTACTCATTATCCAATTTTCTGATGCATAGCCAGTAACTGCAAAGACTATGGCCTGGATCATGTACACCTTAGTCTGACATCATTGCTCTTCAGTATTCTAGAGAGGTCCCTGACTTCAGACTTTCCCAATGCAAATTATCTTTTGATTTCCTCGCTGCTGGTACCAACAGTGTTGATTGTGACACATATAAAAATTACGAAATCATTTTTATGTATTGGGATCACCCTTTTAGAAAGTCAAGTGGAATACAGTAGAAATATGTGAATGGGCGCATTAAGGAGTATATTACATTAGGAAGCTTGTTTGCATTATACCTGTGAAGTGGAGTGGTTTTCTGTGGACTGTGGTGTAAACACTGGAGACTCTCTCCCTGCCTATTAGTGACAATAAACTTTGCTGCCCTATAAGGCGAGGTAGTACCTGGCTGGTGTCCACAGGAATTGGCGTGAAGGCAGCCTGTGTTAGGGACACGGTGGGACCCAGAAGGTCCCGTGTGTATGTTCTTTCTTGCTTGTACTCCCGGCTGTGTTCCACTTTCAACTTCTCTTTTGGCAGAACAGCTTCATAACAAGGTGCATAGCCAGGTGGAGGAAGGAATTTAAACTCTCCATGTCTCCCCCCAAGTAGAAAGCGTACCCTGAAGAAGATGCATCAGAATCAATTATATTCCAGAATTAATAATGTTCCTAACTTTCTAACAAGGAAGAATATATCAGCACAAAATTAACTTTATCAGAAATCACATTTTCTTCCCTGGCATCATTTCCTTATCATTCTAGACTCTAAGAGCTTCTAATCATTAAAGGCTAATTGTGAGGGCATCCTACTGGTCAAAATAGAAATTCTGATTAATTTAGGTTAATGGATCCGCAAAACTGATCATGGGCACAAAACAAAAGGAAACGTTTGAAAAAGTAATAATGTCCTATTTGCATTCAATTTAGTATGCACACAGTAACTGGGCATTTAATGTCCAACATTATCAAGTAACCAACACAGAATAAACAAACATGCTCTAACTATCAATACAAGTAAAGCCTCAGGAGCTAAGATAAGTATAAAGAAAAGAAAAAAAGTAAATTTTTCTTGTTCAATTTTGTAATAAAATTCTTTAAAGTACACTCAAATGGAGCTCTTTCATTTTATGAATTTGAAAAGGTTTTCCCTTTCTTTATAAATTTTATAAGAAAAAAATATTTTCTTAAAATCATTTATATATCACTATTTAATAAAAACAATTTAAGTTTACTTCTATTGAACCATACAGTTCTATGGCAACTTTCCCCCCTTTTATTTATTCATTGTTGCATTGTTGCATTCATTTTCTCCTCCCTCAGCTTACCCCACAATGTACTCCTTGTTCCAGATTATTCTTATACATATAATGTATAATCATGTATTTGTTTTGGACAGCTCTTCTCCTCTGTTCTAATGCAGTATTCATTATCTATACATTCTTTCCTCATTCCCTCTCAACCTAATCTGTCGTATCTGATAACAGTGGTGTTGTGAAGTATTTGTTCTTTTGTGAATGAGACATTTCACTTAGCAAAATGTCCTTCAGCCTCTTCCATGTTATGTAATGCTTTACTATTTCATTGTTTTTCAGTGCTACATAGTACTCCATCGTATGGATGTACCATAGTTTTTCTATTTATTTATTTATTGATGGGCACTTGGGTTGCTTCCATTTTTTTGCCATTATGAATAAGGCAGTAATAAACATGATATGCATATTAAACAACTTTAATATAGCTAAATGGTATTTCTTATAAGTTCTGGCAATCAAAATAAATGAAAAATTTTATTTTCTTTGCAATTCTTCTATTAATTTGTGTTTCAGTTGCAAGACAAGAAAATAAAATTATTTTAAAATTTAAAACTCAAAGTTTAAAAATGTAAAGAAAGATAAAAAGGTTAAAATATTGAAAATATTAAAATAAATGAAGTTTATAAAAAAGAACATAATTTGTGGAAATCCAACAAGAAAGAACTGGTGCACACATAGATAATATTCTATAACTGGATTTCTCCTTTTTCAGTATGGAGTTTCTCTGACTGAGGATTACTTTTGTACATATACCTATTTTTAATAAACAATCTGTAACACATGAATGGCAAGTAATATTAAAGGAGACCTTTGTGGGAAGTAAATATATACATATATTTTTGCTGCCAACCCCAAAAGGTACATAGGTTGGATCCACCAGCTTCACTGAGGAAGAAAGATGGGTGATCCCCTCATGCAGCATACCACTGCCTCTGAAAACCCACTGAAGGATCAGCTATGAGTCAGATCGGCCTCCACAGCACATAACAACAGCAACTTGTAAATGGCAGAGTGGTCCATACTAGAACAGATCCTTGGCTTATTTAACTGCATAGAATTGCAATGAGCTCTAATTTTCATTTCCATTTCTCTCTGGACACATCATCAAAGAGAGTGAGAGAAAACCTTGGTTTTGAGTTAAGCTTCTCACTGCTGTTGAGCCAGTTCCATTTCATAGTGACCGTCCATCTGGCTTGTGAGACTACAAATCTTTACAGGAGGATACTGTCCACCTTCCTCCTGAAGAAGGGCTGGTGATTCAAATCTCTGGAAATGTGAGGCCTTTTGGTTAGGCAGTGCAACAAGCTATGGGATGTGCCACCAGTGTCCCTTCATTTCATCTTTGTGAGATAATCTGTTAAGTGTCACAGACAGTGACACAGTAAGGCACCACCTTGACCCAACTAATGACAAGAGGAGAAATCTCAGAATCCTGTGTGGTAGGATGACTTGGTCTTATAGGTTCACTCTTAGTTGGAATCAACTTGGTAGTAGATTTGTATGAATAAGGGAATCAGGAGTGCAGAGACTGTTGAAGAGTAATGATGTCAGTTGGAGGACTAAGGTGTGTCTGTTACAGGCCATGGTCTACAGATCACTTGCTATGCATCTGAGAGCTGGTCAATGAATAAGGGTGACAGAAGAATTGGTGCCTTTGAGCTGTGGTATTGGAGAACAGCAACGAAAATTCCAGGGGCTGCCAAAAGAGCAAAAAATTACATCTTGGGGAATGTGTAGGCAGAGTGCTCTGAGGAGGCAAAGATGATGAAGCTTCACCTCACATACTTGGGGCACGCTGCTAGGAGGGGCTATTCTTTGGAGACGGACACGATGCTTGGAGAGTCAGAGGGTTGGTGAAGGAGAAGACCTTTAAGCAGGTGGATTGACACAGTAACTGTCACAATGGGATCTAGTGTGTCAGGAAGTATGAGGAAAGTATAAAGTTCAGATCTGTTGTTCATAGAGTCACTATGGATCATACTTGACTTGAAAGCACCTAACAACAATAATAAATTTATATAGATGTACATAGTAATGTGCCATCAATATGGAATCAACTCATAGTTGATCCACCAGTGTGTTTTCAAGAGGCAGTTTAACTGCATGGGAGGATACTGACTATCTTTCTCTCATGACACAGCTAGAGAATACAAACTGTGTACCTTTGAGTTGGCAGTGCAACTCTTGACCACTAATCTACCAGAATTCTGTGTAGTGTGTGTGTGTGTGTGTGTGTGT